TTCTTGGAAATATAATTATAATTTTTATTTTCTTATATTCTTGTTGGAAACCATTTTCTCTATTCGAATCACTATTTAGAGAGTTCCTAGCGGTTAAGGTAGGAGAAAAAAATTGAAAATAAACCTGGTTGAATAATTTGGGTAGCCACTGTAAGTATGGACGCTCCTTATGACGTAGCTTGCAGAAAACATATTTGTGATCGGTATCTGTAAAAAATTCTATAACACGGGCACCTCCGTTACGTGGACGATTTGAAAAAGTCCCGTAGGTGCCCATCTAAGGGAGGTGTTACTGTAACTGAAGCACAGAACTTAGATTTATAGCACTGTAATTTTAAAATTTTATGATATGTGTTTATTACTTTCTTGATATCATTAACTTCTGTTTCTTTTTGTCTAAGTATAACTAGCAATCGTTCATTTTCACCTAAAAATAAAAATGAATTATCAAATTAAAGAATTTCTAAAGAATTTTTACCTTCAACTTCTGTCATTTGTGATTTCATTTGATTATATCTTTCTTTCGTTTGTCTTTCTGAATGTTCAAGTTCACGAAATTCTGCTTCATATTTATCTCGAATACGTCTAAATAATTGAATTTTTTTTTTTAAATAAATTTCTATGAAAAATTATTATTTTTACTTGACACGATTTTCTGCTGTACGTTCAGCTTCTTCTTTCGTCATTGTTGTATCTGATTCAAATTGTGAAATAATTCTTTCAATTTCTTTATCACGTTCACGTCTCATTTGTTCTCGTAATTCACGTTCTTTAGTAGCTAAAAATGTTTCTTGTTTTTTCATATAATTTTCTTCCCAACTTTGTTTTTCTAATAGTAATTTTTCTTTTAATTCATTTATTTCATTTGTATGTCGTCGATCTTGTTCTAAACGTATAGCTTCATATTCACGTTTAGCAGCATCAACAGCTGTTCGATGATTTTCTTCAATATCATGTCGAAGTCTAGAATAATTTATGTTTTCAGAAATTCAATTTAATTTAAATAAATTATTTACTTATCAAGATCAGCACGTTGTTTTGTTGCTAATTCAGCTTGTCGATTTTTTTCATCTTCAATTTCTGTAAAAAGTCGACGACGTTGTTCAGTAAAGGATTTTTCTTCATCACGTATAGCTTTTTCATATTTTTCTCTAGCTGAATCTCGTTCACGAGCAATAGCTGATTCTTTTTCACGTTCTAATTGATCACGTAAATCTTCTGTCATACGAACATAACGTTGTGCAGCACGTTCATCAGCTGCTAATAATTCAGCTTCATGAATTGTTTTCATTTTAGCTAATTCAGCTTTATGTTTGCCAATTAATTTTTGTATTTCAGGTTCTAAACCACGTACAGTTAATTCTTTGATTTTTTTTGTTTTTTCATCAATCCAACGTTCACGTCGTAATTTTTCTGCAGCTTCATGAACATCTTTTAATTTTTGTAATTCTATTCGATGAGATTCGTCCATATTTTTTAAACGATCACTTGATTTTTTATCTATTGTTTTTAATTCAGTAACAAGACGTTCACATCGTTCAGATAATTTCTTTTTATCATCAATTAACTAAAAAAAAAAAAAGAAATCATTCATAATAAATTTATTATGATAGAATCGATTGAAGTGAGTATTTGTCTATATATTATAATCATCATTATTTTTCATTTAAACGATACAAATATATTTTGTTAATATTTGATTGTGTTTAGTTTTAGAAGGATAAATTTTTTTTTTACTGCACTGTCAAAAGATCTAGAAGATACGAAATACTTCTTTAAGGTTTTTTTCTATTCCATAACCCGATCAGGTTCGGATCCGAAAATTGTCGACGCAACGGGCTTCAATACCTTATATGAATTTCAAAATCAAATACACAAGACTAACACTCACACTTTGGGTAGGGAAAGTATATGATTGGATGATGGTATAGAACAATGTAGTCATTACCTTGAGTACTTGCATAGAAACAAGCGCATTTTATTTCATATGACTTTTTCTTTAGTCGAAGGAATTTCTTTCGAATCGTATGAAGTTTGATTAAAATATAAAACTAGAGTACTGCAACCCGGTCGGGTACCCGAAACCGAACCGAACCGGACCATGGGTTCGGGTAAAATTTTTCGGGTCGGTTCGGGCGTCGGGTGAAAAAAGAAATTTCGGTTCGGGTCCAA